TGGGAAAAACCCTTCCAATAAAAGGAGAATGAGAGTTGCTTAACTACATTAGTGTCCCAGGCCAAGCATTAAAACCTAAGTTTGCAGGTTGGGTACGACACAGAGGCCAGATGTCTGAAGGGAAATAGCTGTGCCTAGTTGATTGTGATGTTTGATTTGGGCTAAGTTGTGATACTATAGTTCATTATGATTTTTAAATAAGTACTTTAGGTATACAGTGTTACAATGTGTAACTCACAGACCTAAAAATCAAAAGCTTTTTTGTTGTTTAGGATTCTACCGTTATTCTTCTTAGGGGAAATGGAGAGCAGGTTGCTCTACATGTGTATTAGAATCTCTCTTTTTTTTTTTTTTTGTTTTGTTTTGCTTCTTTGTACCAAAGCTAAAATGGAGGGAGGGAGAGAGCCGGGTTGGCATGGATACATGACATAATATTAAACATGGCATTCTGGTTTTGTATCTTTAAATCGGAAGTTATTTACATAATGTGCAGTGGTAGCAGAACTGTCTTTTTATCAAAGTTTTAGGCTATATTCTTCAGCAGAAGAGCACCTTACAAAAATGCTTGATGTATTTTGATAGCCCTTCTTAAAATGGCAGCAGTTTATATTTTTTCTTAATAGAAAGAAAATAATTGACATACTACTACTCCTGAAATTTTATAAATATGTGGGGTTTTTTTAGTTTTATGTAACAGGTTGATTCTTGCTCAGTGACATTGGACAACCTGACTAAACATAGACAACCTTATCTGCAAGATTCTGCATGCTCAGAACAGTTCTTTGGTGAAATGCTGAGGGAACAGCTTGTAATATTCACAACTTTTTTATAAGTATTTTCTTTTGGAGATTTCTAAGATGTGGCAAACAGGTCCTTATATAGTATTGCCAAAGCTGAGCTGCAGAGCTTGATAAAGTTGCTTTCACTTATGTTAACTAAGGAGCCTCCTACCTTGTAAGATTATGGAGCTGTTTCAGCTTGATAACGTTTTAGTCTTGACTAGTGTATGTCTCAAAAAATAAACTAAGCTATCATGATGCAGCTTCTCCTGTTTGTTTTTTTCTCACTTAATTTCCTTACTAAATTAAAACTGTTTGGGGGGAAGGAGACATTACAGGGTGGGGGGAGGGCAGCGGTGGTGCTTGGAAGTTTTACAAAGCCTAAAATTGGTGCTGAGTATTCAGTGATTTTTTTTAATGTAAAAATTCTAGAAGTTCAGAATTCCTTTTGTTCCAGTTTCAAATAATGCAGCTTTGTTCCTAGTGTACAGAAACAAAATAAGTGAAATTAGTCAAACTTTCATTGTCCAAACTGTCTGACAGACAGATAAACAATTGCTGTTGTTCTACTTAGCTTTTTGCTGGATTGTTAGCAACCGCTAATTTTTAAGACTGTTAAAGTTGGTGTTAGCATGAGAGAGATGCAGCTGGGGGATTTCTTATGTGAAAACAGCCCTGCTAAAAAACAGGTGCTTCTAAACTGAAAATACTTATTCTGGAATTGTAGGAATTGCTATACTAGTTTCTATCACTAGTCATCTAGTGAAAACTTTGAAGTAAGCAATTAAAGTATTACTGCTATGAATGTTTTTTTCTGAACTTGGTGAGATTGTCTTATGATATCCAAGCCATCGTGTTTTTAAAGGTTAAAAATGTAGAGTTCAGTGTCATTGTGGATATGTTAAACTTGTCTTGAAACAGACTTGATATGTTGTGGCACCATTTTGGGATGGTTGGGGAAGATGTTTTTTTATAGTGTGGTGTTGGCATGTGTTTTTTCTAGCCTTGGTTTTGCTTTGACTCTCTTCATAGAAAGACCTTTCCTTCATATATTGCAAGAGTAGACTAGAAGTTCTCTTGAGTAATTTTTTTGTCCTAGTTCTCTTTTAAGTAAACAGCCCCAAGCTTCTGACTTTCCATGCCTCTATTCAGTATAGCCACTTCTCTCTCAACCAACTTTTAGTCATACCTTCTGTTACAGATGGCCTGATCAAAACTACATGCAGACTAAATAATGACATAACTGACACTTTTTCCCTTTTTACATGTAGACATTTTTGTTTGTTTGACCATGTTGAGCAAAGGTGTTGCACTATGTGGAAGAGTGCTCATGCCTCTTTCCCAAATTGACACTGTGAAGTTACGATTGTAAAGTGTTTCGGAGCTGCTGGTTTGACAGGGTAACCTGTTAATTCCCCTTCTGTGGAGAAATTCACCTTCAATGGCTGCTTTGAAGTTCCTAACACCAAAAGTACTGATAAGCTAAAGCCTCACCTGCAGACAATCTTTCCCCTCTCACCTGTTTCTAATTAGTAAACAATGCTTAGATATGATGATTGCTGTTAGTATTTTAGTCTGATGAAAATTAAGGATTTATCCTACCCCATTAATATATATGTGTAGTCCCCTTTTTTGAGACGGGAGGCTTCAGCCTTCTCAAAAGTAAAGCTAACAGTCTGTTCTTATTCATTTTTCTTGACCCATTCAGGGTTCTAGGAGACAAGACTAGTGGGAGATGACATCCTTTGAAGGAGCTGCCATGTTAATTAAATCTGCGAGATGTCTTAATATTTCTTAATATCTTCTGTACCTGATAACTACAAACCAGGCCATTCTGCCAATTTATCTGATCACCTCGAATGCCTTTTTTAAAAAAAAAAAAGCAGAGTCTAGTTCTGACACAACGAGTGGTGTTTAATGGGATTGCGTGTGGTCAGTAACAGTCCCACCAATTATCGTTTGTTGCTTTGCTATTCTTTTGGGTAGTACAGTCTTTGATGCTTAAAAGTATATCTTCCCCTTGTCCCAATATCTTACATCCACTGCTTCAGTTGTGCCACCATCTCAGTATTAGTCCACTAAAAGAAGGTGTCTCCCTACTATTGGACAGACTAAAACTAGGAAGAATAAGAATTAAGTGCCCGAGGCTTTATTTATTACAAGAATTACCTGTTCTGCCAAATGTGCTAAGTAATGTGTGTGACCAGCCAGCTGGATGTGGCTTAGTTGAACATGTAGAGAAGGATAAGCAAGTGAATGCTGCTTTGGAGTCTGTGAATGAGTGTATCTAAAATGCCAATAAATATTTTTGTCCTCTTATCTGCTTTAGAGTAGGTGTTCAGCTTTGTTAGTTTTTGATGCTTGTTACCAGTGGGTGTTATGGGGGGGTGTGGAGAATAAGTGAAATTAATTTCTGCTTGAGGTGTATCTTAGAATATATAAGCAACGGCTCAAGTTATGTGGACTCATTTAATTTTTGTCTTAGTACTAGGGCAAACGGGCTTCCTTCTTAAGGAAGCAAAACACATTATCTTCCATCTTCATCTTAAAATATAGAGAGGCTTTTTTAATAACTTTTAAAACTGTCTAGAATAGCTTTTTGAAATTAATTTTGCTTGTCCTACACATAAAGGAGTCCGTGACCTGATGTTAGTGTCCTATTTAATATGTAGTTAACATACTGTAATAGTGGAACATTTGTTCTTTCCACTATGCAAAACAAAATTTCTCCAATGAATGAATTACTACCTACTCTAATGGCAAGCAAGAAGTAAAAGCATTTGTTACAAGCTTTTTATCACTAACTTGTTGTTACAAGATAAACTAAATGAGTTTTAATTGTGCTTCCCTCGTGCAGTGTGCTTCACTGACAAAGACGTATCATTAGCATAATACAGTCTCACCATTTCTGCCTCTTGGTATTTCTTGTCATGCTTAAAAATGTAGTGTGATGAAGACTAGAAAAGGCATCTTTTTTTAAGTTTATGGGTATGATAGCATTTTCTGTAGTAAACTATTTCATTCCTCTTCTAAATGTGGTGGGTATATTGAAAAGATTTTAAAAAACAAAATAGAGGAAAAATCTACAAATGAACAAAAGAGCCAGAGCAAATCTAGAAACTGAAGCTCTGTATATACAAGAGGCTGCATCGTGTATGCCCTTAAATCTAGGAGAGAGAACTTTAAATGTGAGTGTGTATGTGTGCACAAAATAAATCAAAATTAAATGTAACTTGTATTTATGGTTCTAACTTTTTAGAGATGGTGGAGCCAGGACAAGATCTGTTGCTTGCTGCTTTGAGTGAGAGTGGAATCAGTCCAAATGATCTATTTGATATTGACTCGCCGGACGTGGTTGCAGCAGGTTAAAACAAGAACATAGTCGTTTGCTAGAGGACATAAGAGCTTGTGCTTGATGTATTGTGGAGGGGGGCGTGGTGTCCACAGCAAATGGTTAAAGAATGTGGAGTTTTCATAAATTTCTTGCTTCATAGTACTGAGATTAGAAAATTACTTGCTAATTAATTTTAAGCTCTTATACAAAAAAGCAATCTGAAATAGCAGGTTAAAACAAGAACATAGTCGTTTGCTAGAGGACATAAGAGCTTGTGCTTGATGTATTGTGGAGGGGGGCGTGGTGTCCACAGCAAATGGTTAAAGAATGTGGAGTTTTCATAAATTTCTTGCTTCATAGTACTGAGATTAGAAAATTACTTGCTAATTAATTTTAAGCTCTTATACAAAAAAGCAATCTGAAATACACTATTGAGGTCAGTATAAACATAAATATACTTAACTTCTAGACGTCAAATGGGGGCATGCTGTCATGTATCCATGTATGGAGAACTCTAATATCACTGGAGTCTAGCTGCTCTCCTATAAAATGTGCAAAAAGTGCAATATGATATGGTGTTTAAGCTCCATGACAGCATTCAATCTGCAAGAACATAACCATTTCAGACGTAGACTGGGAACAGTAGTATGTTGAACAGTGGCATCACAAAACTAATTACATTTTCACCACAGTTAACTAACAAGGTGTTGCATGTTTAACTTCTTTGAATGTGAAATCAACCATTGATGATCTTTATCTTCAGTGAAACCTTTGTTAATGAGCACAGTTAAGGACTTCCCCATTAACTTCCATTTTGTGGGTGGATATTTAGTCTTAAGGTTTTTTCCCTGCTAATGTGAGTGTTTTCTGATGCTTACTTTCTTTCCTCTGCAGTCAGTGCCACTTAGTGCGTTAGAACTAGGCTTGGAGACTGAGGCCACAGCTGCTGTGAAACAAGAACCAGAGACTGTATCAACTCCAGCCTTATTAAATGTTCGGGTAAGAACTGGTACTTCAGGATTTTGTATGTGTGTATCTGATGGGTTAATCTTGGCTGGACACCAGGTGCCCACTAAGCTGCTCTGTCATTCCCCCTCCTCAGCTGGATGGGGGGAGAAAAAAAATAGGATGAAAGGGTCGTGGATTGAGATAAGGACAGGGAGATTAGCAATTACTGTCACAGGCAAAACAGACTCGACTTGGGGAAATTAATTTAATTTATTGCCAGTTAACAATGGAATAGGATAATGAGAAATAAGAACAAATCTAAAACACCTTCCCCCCACCCCTCCCTTCTTTCTGGGCTCAACTTCACTCCCGGCATCATCACACATTGTCTCTGCCACTCCTTCCTCATCACGCTTTTCCCCTGCTCCAGCAGCTCCTTCACAGACTTTTCCACCCTGGGTCCTTCCCATGGACTGCAGTTCTTCACAAACTGCTCCAGCATGGGTCCTTAGATGGGGTGCAATCCTTCAGGAATGGACTGCTTCAGCGTGGGTCCCCTGCATGGCCACAGGACCTGCCAGAAAACCTGTTCCAGCGTGGGCTCCTCTCTACGGGGTCAGAGCATCCTTTGGGCACATCCACCTGCTCTGGCGTGGGGTCCTCCACTGGCCGCAGGTGGATATCTGCTCCACCGTGGACCTCAGTGGGCAGCAGGGGGACAACCTGCTTCACCACAGGCTACAGAGGAGCCTTTACTCTGGAGGAGTCTTTACTCTGGTGCCTGGAGCACCTCCTCCCCCTCCTTTTTCACTGACCTTGGTGTCTGCATAGTTGTTTCTCTCACATATTCTCACTCCTCTCTCCCAGTTGCTGATTGCGCAGCAGTTTTTACCCTTTCTTAAATAGGTTATTACAGAGGCGCTACCAACGTCACTGATTGGCTCAGCCTTGGCCAGCGGTGGGTCCCTCTTGTAGCTGGGTGGAACTGGCTGTATCAGATGTGGGGGAACCTTCTGCCATCTTCTCGCAGAAGCCACCCCTGTAGCCCCCCCGCTACCAAAACCTTGCCGTGTAAACCCAATACAGTATATTAGTAAAATGTAACAGAAGAGGTGGGACTGTAAAATGCCAGTTGGCCATCATGTCAGTTCTGCTTGTACTGAGACTGAAAGCTTAGCGTACCCATGGGTTGATATGATTTCTATGACAAGGAACACAAAGGAGGACAGAGCAGTATGCAGAAAAACATTTTGAGGTGTCCCGTGTGCCTTTTACTTCCCCTGCATGCAAATTCTGGGGATAGGGAGGTTATGTAGACTTGTCTCCTGTACCCGAACTGTGTACCATCTTTTCTAGCTGCAGAGAATTCTGAGAACCATAGTCTGGTGGTTGCACCTGAAATGAGAATATAAAAAGCAGATCTGCAGGAAGATGGAAGTAGTGCAGTGTGTCTGAAAAAGGCTGCACATATACTTTAAGTAATCCAAACTATTTACTCTGACAATTATGCAGCTAGTTTATATATTGGAAATTCTCTCCAGCTCAGGGTTCCTGTACCTGTAGTAGTCATGTTTTGTGCCTAGGTGATGAATCCTTCATCATATTTTTTTATTTCCTTTCCCTTACCTTAAAATAAAATTTAGAAATACCATTCAAAAATACGTACTGCAATATATTGATAAATAGACACTTCTTGCTCAGACAGCTGCACCACAAGATAACTACTCTACCATCTTCAGTGTGTTATGTGAAAACATTTCTTATTACAAGAGTCTTTTAGAAACTGGTGACTCCTGTGCTCTAGATGAAAGGCTAATAAAGTCTGCTTTTTTTTTTCACTCTCTTCTGATATTTCCCTGATTCTTTGTTGCTAGCAACCACCATCCACCACAACTTTTGTGCTGAATCAAATAAATCAGCTTCCAACTTTGGGGACTACAATAGTGATGACAAAAACAACACCTGTTACAACTACAAGGCAGACTATCACTGTAGCAAAAATCATTCAGACCAGCACAACTACTCGACCCTCGGTTGCAGCACCAGCAGTACGCAATGCCTTGACCACTGCACCTTCAAAGGACCAGATTCAGCTGAAAGATCTGCTAAAGAATAATAGTCTTAATGAACTCATGAAATTGAAGCCACCGCCTAATATTGCCCAACCAGTAGCAACAGCAGCAAGTGAGTTTTCTTCTTTCTTCATAATTACAGTATTTTAGACAAATAGCGAAATAATATAATGTGAAGATCTTTGCACATCTTGTATTTTCATTGATTAGTAGAATATCACTCTAAAATGAAATGGCCCGGAAAACTTGATAAAGTCTGTTCTAACTTTAATCGTGTTAGAATTCAAGGTGAAGTAATACAAAACAACAGGCTTTTAAAAAAATTTAAGTTTTTGATTTACTGCGAGGAATGAGGAAAATGACATTTTTAGAATGCAGCTGGCAAATTGGTGAAATAAATCTACTTCAATTATGTTCATGAAGTAAGCTATCTTACTTGAGTCTACATCAGTTTCTGTTCTACTGTATACTTGCTCTGGAACTATGACAAATGAGTACTTTTGGGTTTTTTTAGCATTTTCCAAACTAGATTTGTAGCACATGCTGGTGCCCCTATGATAAGGTGTTTCTGTAAAGCATCTCCTGGGAAAGAACATCTCTGTCCCTGTATGTTTCATGGGAGTCATCAGATCTATTGTGTTTAGAAACTTAAGTCCTAAAAACTTGCTGTTTGTTTCCATGTTACTTCTTAAATGTGGTGTTAACTTAAATGCCACGAGTATTTTATTACCACACTCTAAGTCTTCATTTTGTGATTCCTTTCATAATCTTTTCTTGTATGTTATTTCTGATATGTGGACAGCTTATATGGTCAGCTCAATATAAGGGGGAAGCTGCATGTGTGTGTATTTTTGATTTGTTTCTTTCAAGTTATTCTGATTTTAGCACGAGGTTAAGATCAGACTAGTTGAGTTTGAAAGTATCTGTTGCTGCTTTTTCTGAAAGGTACGCAGACTTTTTCTGGATTGCTATATTTTCATTGTCTCTGAAATAAGATTTACTGATTTTTATAGGTGGGGTTGGAAGTAACCTATTTTTCATATGCAGATAGAGTGCGCAATAAATGAAGCTGTCAGGACTGAAACAAAAAGAAGAATGTGCCTCCTTGTTTCATTGCTTTCTGCTATGGTTGACAAAAATTGAAGTTGAGACACCAACTGAGGTTGGGATGGGGGGTAAAGGAGTGAAGAAGAGCAGGGGGAGAAGGTTTTGTAGGACTGACTTATCCCCTTTGTGCTAAATGAAAACTCAGAAGTACATAAGTAATAGGTAACATTAATACACAGCTGTTGTAGTGGCACAGCTGCAGAAAGTAGTTCAATCTGTAGCTTCTGTATTAAGTGAAAAGGAGACATGCAACTTCTAGAACCGCATTTCTAATCTTACTTGTATGCTTGTGTTTCTGGATCCTTCTTTATGCTTATAAAAAAAAAAAAACAAACTTGTAGAAAATTCAAGGGCAGAGAAGCTCTTGAAGGAAGGAAGGAAACATGGTCTTTTCTTACAATTCAGGCAGCAGGAGTTCTAGATTGGAAAACGTTAAAAAGTTAAATTATGCAAAGTCTTTGAGGAAAACTTTATTTGTTCAATTGTTGTGATCATTTTTTAGGGACAATTATGCTAAATTTATTACATGCATTGACCATCAACATGATGGAAGCTTGACAGCTGCTTTCAATGTTTTACATCTATCCTTGTGTAAATTTTCTTAGTTCTATACTGAGCCCTATTGCCAGTTGCTTCCAAATGTGGCTGAGGACAGGAAAGTTAATAAATCGTCCTCTTGAAGGATCCTGTTATAAACTTCAAACAATTGAGTCCAAACTGTTGACTTCTTGTTTTACAGAAATAATTGTAGTTCCTCCTAAGGTGGTAAATGCCACCAGTCCAGGTAAGTTCATTTCTGTTGAAACACTGGGCTTTCTGGTTTGTTCTTAAACTTCAAAGGCTCACAAGATGGAGTATTTCTAAATACCATGTGTAGATTTGGTGAAGGTCCAAAATATTTTTTTTTTTAAAATACTGAAACTAATATACAACTGTGTTGGATGTGGTGGTATTGCATGGGAAATTTCTTCAGTCAAAGAAGTAGCAGGATTTAACTCCTTGCTCAGAGACTTTTTAATTTGGACAAAAATATTGGGTTCCTGAAGCATCAGTGTGCTACTGGACATCTTAAACTTCTCTTCCGGCTCATTAATAGAGAAGGATGTTAATTTGAGTCGATGTTTGGAGGGAATTCCTGTAAAACACAACTTTTCTTTTATAGCTGATCTAAGCAATGGTGCGGTGAAGAAGGAGGCTTCCACAAAAGAGGTAGCAAGAATATGGATAAATGATATTAAAATGAGAAGTTTTTCACCTACTATGGTAAGTAGTACAAATGGTTAATTTGCCAAATGAATATATATATTTTATTGGCCACAACCATCTGTGACTAGTTTCAGTAGTTACTCATATATGCCTTTTGTGTGGTAAAATTCTCGAGAGCATCTGTTTGTTCAAAAGGTTAGTTTCTCCACTGGATGAATACTTGGTTAGGTGACTAAAAGTAACAGCTGTGTAGAGCAGACTACCTGTCCAGTAAATGACAATTTCAAGAAGTTACTGTCCTTAACAGTAGGGATTGTGTAGGGACGAAGAAGGGTGTGCTCCAATTAAAGCTGATAAGCATATTTCTTGCTCTGTGTTTTAAGACGTTTTCTTTTAAAATATCCCCATTCGTATAACTAGCAACAAGGAAACTAGAAGACACTCTCTAGCATGGCTGACCTTCTGGGCAGTTTGATTTAAGTTGTAAACTGAGTATCATTCAATTTTCTAAATGTAATAAGTATACGTTCTGATGCTGTAAACACTTGAGTTTCAGCATCTTCAATGATAGTTAGAATCAGGCTGAAGTTTGTGATGAACAGTGCTCGTTAGTGACTGGCATACAGACGGATTTTCAGATTACTTTTTTATATTAAACATTGAATTAGTGATTTTGGAAGATTTTTTTATTTGCCATCTAGAGAGTACTTTAAAAATATTCATATATTTACATTGATCGAGATCACAGTGAAAAATGGATAACTGTCAGGTTTCAGAGAGTACTGGATAGAACTGTGACTATTATAACTCTTCCCCGAAGTTGTGAAATTACGTAATGAATGTGAAACTGCAGTACTTGAAAGTTAGGTTTTGGCTGTTAACTAGCTGTTGTGTTTTCAGGGCAGTTTTCTTTAAGTCATAGTTTGGATTTAAAATGCTGTAAGTGTTTCTTTTTTAATCCTGCTTATGTGAGTTTGGAGTACTTGAACCTCCTTGCAAAGAAGAGAAAATTCCCTGACTTTGTGTTTGAAGGGTTGTTCAGAGTGTAAGAAATCTACATTTCCGTCTGTAGTTTTCCCAGCTGCTCACTGGTTCATCTAGTATTTGTGTTAAAACATTCAAGTGCAAGTTTGTGCTCATTTCATTTCTCATGTTACTTTCCAGGACATAGAGTATTAATAATGTGCTATTTGACTAATGCAGGTATTTCTCTATTCTAGAAAGTGCCAGCAGTAAAAGAGGAGGAGGAACCTGAGGAAGAAGATGAAGAAGAAATGGGCCATGCAGAAACTTACGCTGAGTACATGCCAATAAAATGTATGACCTAAAGTTTTGTTATGTCAAAAGGCTGAAATGTTTTGAGAGCTAATTTGTTTTTTACTCTTCTGTAGTTACTAACACCAAAACACAGATAGGTTACTATCTGAATCAAGTAAAAAGGACCTGAATTTGTGGTGGGTTTTCCCTAGGAAATTTTACTCTTCTGTAGCGCTTAGTTTTGGAGGGTATACAGATTTTTTTAATAGAAAAGGAATTCTTTAGTGTGTCTTTGAGCAGTACTTGTTTCAGAAATATGATTGATGAACCAAGATCAAGCTTTTTTTACCTGTGTTAAGATGCTTTGTGCCTCACAGAGGCAATTTTGTAAAGGGCTTCAGTGGTCACTGCTACATTTAAGAATCTAGTTTGAGTCTTTTGGTGTGAAATTACCCTAAGCACATTCTTCCTGCATTGTTCCTGACTGACTTCTTAGAGCTGTTTTTTAAATAAATTTTTAAAAAGTGAATCTTTTACTGCTGTTAATTGCCATCTCCTCTTTTTTCTCTTTTCTCTTCTTTATTGTAATCAGTGACAAAAAGCTGTTACGGTGTTTCCTAGGTACATTGCTGACCTGCTATAAAAGCAAGGCAAAAAATTTTGCATGGAGTTTGTAGCTAAATGGTTAATTTTTATTGTCACTGATGAGATCTGTCAGCAATTAAACCGTGTCTGTTCTAAATCTTTTCTCCTCTCATACTGCTTAAAAACAGCACTATATAAATAGTGAGAGGAATGTTGCTTTTGTGATTCTGGCATCTTGAGGCCGCCTCTGGCCTTTTGGGAAGGCAAGGTTCAGACCAGTTTTTCTCAAACATGTCAAGTACACAAATATTTTAATTTTCTGTGAACTGAATTTTATCTAATTTCATAAAAATTGGGGGAGGGTGGTGAGAAGAGAAACAAAGTTAAGATTGCAGTTTATATAGATTTTTTTTATATATTTTTTTTTTATATATAT